CTCAGCCCTTAAAGGGGAAAGGTTGCCTACCCCTGCTATAGAACAACAAAGGGGGAAAAGTCCTCCACCACCATTAAAGGCAGCAAGGAGGCTGTGAACAATACAGCTCTGTCTTCTAAAAGATAAGAAAGGCCAGGAAGGTTAGGGAATAATAGATATGGGTTGCTATTGCTACCTCACAACATCTGCAACCCAAGGTGGTTACCTTGCTCTAACTGATGGCAGCCTTGACCCTGGCAAATACACCAGGATGTACTGCTTTTGGTCTGTTTTGAATGGTCCTAGGGACTGAGACTGTACAGTAACTTGCTAATTGGCAAAAGATGAAAAGATCAGCCTTTGTAGGCATAGTGGTCTTTCTTGCATATATAGTATGACACACTTTGTCCCATTAAATCTTAGACACCTATGCCTAAGAGAAAAAGAAAAGAATGGATCCTTCTTTCCAGGAACATCTGGGACACAAGCATAAAAGCAGCTGGTCCATTGGAGGTAAAAATAACCTTGATAAGTGGCTGCTAATCTTGCCCCATGGAACTGCTTGGACTTCAGAGCCCTGACCTTTTGGAGCAGAGAAGGGAAGGAGGGAGGGGATGGCTTGGCTTCTTTTCCTATTTGTGTGGCTGGACTGAACCAGATGGGAAGCAGTCGCTATAAAAGGCTCATGAGGATCTACACACAGCAGGTAGCGGACAGTGAACACTCAGCCAGTCAACAAAACACTCTGGAGAAGGAAACCTCAAGTGCTCCAGCTTCACCGTGGCAGGTAAGCCTCTATCTTAGGCAAGGGAGGCATAGAATGCAGCTTGTGAATGCCTGGGATTGTAATTCAAATGCAAAATTTAACAGCTAGAAAAATGCATTTGTTTTCTCTTCTGCATCAAGAGCATTTGCAGGTGACACCCTCTGAGCTCAAAGGCATTTATAGAGGTGCATCCAAACATGTCACTGCTGTGGAAATGCATTTCTGTTTTGTGATATGGCAAATTAATATAAGGCACCTTTAGATTACTGCCCCTGCCCCTGCTCATCCCATCCCAGCCACCAGATAACTACCTGTATAACATTGGGGCTGAAACCCACTAGCCTGCAAATTGCATTCTCTTGCCCTGCAAGTGTCTTTCTCAAATCTCAGTTAAGGTAGGCATTGGTTGTGACTGTGTTGTAAAAGACCATCATTCTGCACACACAATCAGGGCCACCTCTTACCTTTTCCCCTGTCTGAACTCCAATCTAGGCTACCCAGAGTGAGGAGCAACCAGGACAATTTGCACTGGGCCCTCACAAAGCAACTCCTGTAGTTCCTATTAATATCGTTGGCCTCTGGCTCAACCTTACCACATTGCTCACTATAGCACACATGGGTCTTTGGAGAAGGCAGTGATAGAGTCCTCACCACCACATCTGCCAAGGATCTTTTCTAGATGGTCCTTTTGGCATCAACTATCCATCCAACAGGCCCAGGATCCTGTGCTTTGCACCTAATTTTGTTACCAGATGTAAAAAATCAAGACAGCATCTAGTTGTGCTTCAAAGGCAGCTAGTTCACAACATAACCCAATACCTGGGCTCTCTGCCTATGTCATCCTTCTGGCGTTGTCATTTCTGAAGCTGTGCCAAAGGGAATGATAGCTCTCACATGGGAATACATGCTGTTTCCGTATGACTCGGGAGCTGTGAGAGTGGGGAAGGAAACATGGCATACTGTAGGACTTAAATGCAGGTACTGGCCTCTGCACTTTAAAATAACTTGACTTTCATGTAAAAATGGGCTGCCTAAATTTGCCCAAGTGGAAAGATAGTTGTGTGGTTTTATAATGGACATTATGTCAAATATTTAGGAGATAATTTCTACCACACATTTATTACACATTACAGAATATGAAGAAGCAGGAAGATGGTAAAATTCTCCTTAGAGGTCCACTTGATATTGGTCATCTTTATCCTCCTTTACCAAACATCTGCACTCAAATGAAATTCCAAAAAAGAAAGGAGCAATCAAATTCTTGGCTCAGGATTATGCTGCACTAATATGATCACCTTTGAGCCAAAGAGGAAGCATCAGAACAGCAATATATATTTTAGTTATATGTCTGCCTTATACTCTTTTATAGATAAAGTTGTGGAGTCTGCTTTTTATATAAAATGCAACACAGAGAAGAAGGGAGCTAAGAAATGCTGCCTTTCCACCTAATTTTAAATTTCTCTTCAT